TTCAAAAGTTTACTTGCATTTGATAAGAAGCTGCGTGGGCGAAAATTATATGTCAACAATTTTAAGGCTATTTTGGCTATGCTCATCGCTGGTCTGGTTACTGGTATAGGGCTATAGCCAAGCCGTTAAAATTAGACCACAGATTGCCTCGATTTCGTAGTCCGTCCAATTTAGAGTGAAATCGTGGCTACATACAGTATAGACCATGTCATGAAATGACACTTATATCTTTGTAGATATTATTGACACTGCGAACATGATGGGATATCAACCATCTCATGCGCTGTCTGGCCAAAAACTACAGTGAATCAGGTTTGACGATAAGTGGGCTACAAATAGCTGGTCTGACTATGAGCTAAATCGTGGCTACGCTCAGGCTACGTATTGAACATGTCAAAGAAATGAAACCAAACACCCTGTAAATGCTGTTGACTTTGCTTACATGATGGAATATCATACATCTCACCAGTTATTTTGCCAAAAAATGACATGAAACCAAATTCAAGGTTATTTGGGCTAGAAGTGGGTTACACATAGCTGGACTACATCGGGTCTATAGTTAACCGAGACGTTGAAATGAGGGCTATTGCTTGCTGGGTTACCCCAGACAGTTCTTCTTTCACTACAGTTTGCCGCTGGCTTTGATGTCCCTATGGTGGTTAAACATGAAATATAATTCGTTTTGGGTATCTAATGGGCTCATTAATCTGTTCCAGAGCAAAGTTAAGGTTTATTAGCCTATATAAATACTTTTGGTCAAAAGCAGTGAGCAGTTTTCTTTTTGTCTTTTTTGGTTGGATTAACATGTCTAGCTCCGCCCTTGCGCCATAGCTCGTGACCGAAAGAGAATGAGTCGTTTTGGGGGGGAGGGGAGGTTAACGGTTTTGATAAAAAACTACGAGGGCGCATGAATGGAAAAAAAAAAGCGCACGGATAAATTATTTATAATAAACACTACAATACTCCATTAAAAAAATAAGAATTTTCAATGTTTATTTCATGGTGACTTTAAAGACAAACAGTAGCTGTTAAATTTGTCTTAAAGTAACCTCAGACTATGCACAAATCCAATATAATGATACACATCTAAATTCTTTTCTCAATTGTTCATATTCACTTGAGACATAACCGACTGTTTTCGAGGATACTTGCCAAAACGAGTATTTTTACATAATTGTGTATGTATTTGTCCTACAGCTGTATCGCACTCGATTAGCTTGTTCAGGTGTGTTTGATTAGGGTTGAAGCAAAACTCTGCAGGGCTGCTGCTCGCCAGGACCGACGTTCGCCACCCCTGTTCTATGGCATCACTGTGAAAACCACCTTTTGGACCCTTTATTTTTAAGATAGGAAACTGAGGAAGATTACAATCTCTCTCTAACCACTAATGCTGTTTCTCTCTTTCACAGAGCCCATCTATGTGCCCTTCCTGATGGTGGGCTCCATCTTTGTGGCGTTTGTAGTGGTCGGTTCTTTAGTGGCCGTGTACTGCTGCACCTGCCTGCGACCCAAGCAGCCCACACAGCAGCCCATCCGCTTCTCACTGCGCAGCCAGGGCGAAACCATCCCCATGATCCTCACCACAGCCCCTCCCAGCCTACGCACACCATCACGCCAGTCCAGCACGGCCACCACCAGCTCCAGCTCAGTGGGTGGAGGCAGCTCAGTCCGGCGATTCTCCCTGGGCCGGGGTGACGGGCTGGGACAGTGTTCGCAACAGCAGCTCCTGGGTGTGTTTTACAGCTATAGCCTCAAGCAAACGGGGAATATGTGCTTTGAATATGTAAAACAAAGCTCTTGCCAATTTAGATATTGAAAATATATTATTTTGAATAAATTACAATGCAAAATAAGCAGTAGAGGTACAGAATTGAGTTATGTTCTTTGTGATTCTTAAATTAATATTCCATATGAAATAACCTTTTAACAAGCAATTACTGAAATATTAAGCAACAACTCACACATCTGAGAAGCAATAATTCACAAGACTTTCTAAATATTAAGAACATTATTGTCATGAAATATTGTAAATTTAGAAGTACACTCTTAAAAATAAAGGTTATTTATTGGCGTCTATGCTTCCATGAAGAACCACAGAAGACAGCTGATGTTAAACATCCATGAAAACCTTTCCATTACACAAAAGGGTCTTTAGTGAACACAGGATCTTCAGATTATTACAATGTTCTTCACACTAGGGAAAAAATGGTTCTTTTAAGAACTGTTCACTCTTTGGAGAACCAACATTGATTCTTCTATGGCATCACTGTGAAAACCACCTTTTGGACCCTTTATTTTTAAGATAGGAAACGGAGGAAGATTACAATCTCTCTAACAACTAATGCTGTTTCTCTCTTTCACAGAGCCCATCTATGTGCCCTTCCTGATGGTGGGCTCCATCTTTGTGGCGTTTGTAGTGGTCGGTTCTTTAGTGGCCGTGTACTGCTGCACCTGCCTGCGACCCAAGCAGCCCACACAACAGCCCATCCGCTTCTCACTGCGCAGCCAGGGCGAAACCATCCCCATGATCCTCACCACAGCCCCTCCCAGCCTCCGCACACCATCACGCCAGTCCAGCACGGCCACCACCAGCTCCAGCTCAGTGGGTGGAGGCAGCTCAGTCCGGCGATTCTCCCTGGGCCGGGGTGACGGGCTGGGACAGTGTTCGCAACAGCAGCTCCTGGTGGTCTCATCTTCCACGGCCTCCACTCCTGTGTCCGTGGCCCCGACGCAGCCTCTATTGGCTCCGCTTCCTCCACCGCCCTACACCTCCCAGCAGGGCCTGCAGGGTAGTAACTCTCTCCAGCACACGCACGCTCACAGCCAGTTACAGCTGCACCACCAGACCCTGCAAAGCTCCGGCTTCCTTCTGCCACAACAGTACTTCTTTCCCCTGCCGCAGGAACCGTTCTCCACAAACAAGGGCTTTGCTGACTTCAGCCAGAGCTGACCTGGGGTTCCCTGCTGCTGCTCAAAAGGAAACGGACACCAAAGAATCTGTCATTCACAATGCCGTTGTTGTAGACTCATATTACAGGGGTTCCTGTTCAAGGAAATAGGCACTAATGTGTCTTTCAGCAAGCTCGATTGGCACTTTGAGAGCGCAGCTGGAATTTAAGAGCCATGTGGGCCACTAAAGCTGATGAGATAGTGAACTAGCAATCAAACAGACACTCAAGTGCTGGATACAACATGCCAGAACATGGATGCCTGTTTCTAAATGTACAACTGATCAAATCTTGTATGCACTGTTTAAAAAAAATTTTTTTTTTTAAAGAACTCCATCTGGTCAGTGACACTCCACTGAACATTTAGCCTCTGTATTTGAGATAATTTGATATATACTGTATAGACATTACAAAAGAACGACAGAATTTCATGACAATCTCAATCCCATTTTAGGGGTCCTGCATACAAATGGTGCACTGTATGAATGGGGATTTTATAGAAATGTTCTTATTTTTCCAAAGTGTCAGATTGAAGTTTTAAATTGCCAGATTGAGATAGAATTTTTTAATAACATTTAAAACAGGCATTCATCATGCATTATTCTTGCTCATAATACACAGAGTATCAGTCACATAAGGAACAGGTTAACATTACGTGAATGTACAGCTACCCTTGGGAAAACCTCTGTTTCTAATGTTTGGAGAACATTCATTCTTCAATTTTTTATAATTTGTAGCAATCTGAAAGCCATTATTGGCTCAGTTTCAGATTACACTGGCAACACAGTTTTGTTATATTTGATACGAGACGTTTTGTAAATGATCAGGTGTATCTAAATGTACAGAGCAGCTGGAAGCACATCATGTGACGAGACGGCCTTCAAATAAGTATTACAGTCTCTAACCAACAGTGTTTTTGAGCTAAATTAAACTCTTATCTTCCACCTGTGGTTAGTTGGTCTCATCTCTCTGAAACAACAGTAATACATCAGATATACGAATGGAAGAACATTCAAAAACTGTATATCACATCACTAACATAAAAGGTTCCATTTTTTAGAACAGGCTGACTGAGAATACGTGACATTCCTGTTACCCAAGAAGGGAAAACTTGTTTTAACCCATGGACTAATTATTTCTAGGGACACAGCCATGGATACATTTACATCAAGAGCAGCCAATGTAAATAAACAGCTGTTATTAAAATATGGAACAGATAACAACTCTATTAATATCACTGACCAACAGAGCAGTCAGACTGATACTGTAGATCTAAACGACAGGGGATGTCATCTATTCGACATATCTCCACCTTTTCCTGTTTGGATTGATATCGCATCCCGTTTAATGCCACACACGGTGACCAGCTTCAACATAATTTGCCTTTCCACACTAAGAGCAAAATTCTGTACTATGCAATCACAGAAAATACTTGATGCTTAATATATACACTACTGTTCTGTTTGGGGTCAAAAAAATTTTCTGAAAGAAATTAAACCTTTTATTCAGCAAGTATGATTTAAATGAATCAAAAGTGATCAGTCAAGACATTTATAATAAAAAAAAAAACGCAGTTCTTATAAACTATATTAAGAATCCTGAAAAAAAAAAATGTATCATGGTTTCCACAAAAATATTAAGCAGACAAATAGTTAACTGTCAATAACCGAAATAGTTTCTTAAGAACGATGGTTACGGCAGACTATATTTTGCATGACATATTTCACATTGGATTTCACAATAACAGAAACCAAGCAATCAAAAAAAAAAAAAGCTTTCAAAAGTTTGTGTAATATATTGGGTGTTCATGGGAAGTGCTGAGCTGGAGTTTGCTCATGATTAAACAGTGTAAACAGATTTTGGTGGCTGTAAACAAGACATCAAGATAAATTTTAACACCCTAACTGCCCTCTGAAGAGGATCAGCTCATTCTGAAGACGTGTGTATTAGCAAGTGCTGTGTAGGCAGTGACACACTAAAAGAGGACATGAATCATCTGATCGTCTAAAAGTGTTTCGCATGAGCCCCTTACGATGAGCTGAACGCATAAACAGGGCCGAGGTTTAATGTGTGGCTTAAAAAGCTCTCGTTTTGCCTGTGTAGCAGCCTGACACTACATCATTATTTTGGTCTAACGTGTAAGCGTGCTGTAACGCTGCCTAGCTAGAGTCTCAATGGGAAAAAAAATCCTGTTAGGCACCTTTGTGATCATTGCAGCCGTGTAAGATGTGGAATGCAGAAACGTGTTCAAGAAAGCTGTTGAAATGTTGCCAAATTGTAATAAAAAAGAAAAAAAAGAAGGTAGATACATGCAAGTTAAGATCTGACGAATCAGGCACGATAAACTGACTGATCAAAACTAAATTCAAAACTTAAAACTAAAAAAGTAGTTTTTTACAAAAATTAAACTACAACAAAAAAAAAATCTAAATTCCAAACACAACTAAATGCAAAACAAAACAAAAAATATATCCAGTAATGGCTGAAGGCAACAACAAATATAAGGCCTTGGTACATTAGAATCGAACATGAAAACAGGAAATAAGACACTGAGTGTCGTAATATCAGATTATTGATTCTACCTGGAAAAATCAACTACTCTTTCTAAAAAAAAAAACAAAAAAAACAATAAGAGACTCATTCCATCAAATACAGTTATTCTTATCCTTTGATTTGGACTGAGGATATTCAATTTTTTTTTTATATGAAAGATCTCACTAATACTGGCACTATGGTCTCTACAGCACTGCACACTGGGATTGGCCCTTTGATCTATGACTCACCTTATGTCTCAACCGACTCGACCTCTACCTGCTGGCCTGAGGGGGCACATGCAAGAGACCGAGGAGGGCAATGCATTGTGGGAATGACAGCAGGATATTGAAATGATTAAATATGACTCTGCCTATCAATCAAAAACACAGCAGCACATGCACAGGTGGGGAATGGGAAGGAAATGATGGACAATGCAGGTTTAATTATGGTGTTAATATGTATAGTGTTTTAAGGCAACTGTATTAATGTTTAGCGGTATGAGCTAAGGGGTAAAAAAGCATAAAACATCAGACTATCACTGAACGTCCCCCATCCTCACCTAAAAGCAAACACAAAAAAATAGAGCAAATAAAGAGAGGTAACGAACAGAAAATGTAGATGTAAAACTATAAAGAAATGAAAAGACAATGGTTCTCAACTGGTTATGCTTCAGGAGCCAGATTTGACAGTTTATTACACAAAAGCAAAATATAAATCGTTAAAAATTATAAATCTAAAATAATATTAATAATTAAAAAAGAATATAAAAATAGTTTAAACAAAAAACAAATTTATTTTTACTATTTAATAAAATACATTTAATAAATATTATATTTTTATAAATGAATTTGATTTTTTAATAGTTTATAATTTTACAATTAATTTATATAAAACATTTATTTATTTGTTATTTTGAAATATTTGTTTAAATAAATATGATTATAAAATATTTAATCATTTATCTTAAGCCTTATTTCTCTATCCTTACTAAGCATTTGCATTTGTTTTCAGCATTGTTTTCACCTGCTGTTTGCAACCTCAAGCAGACCTGTAGCTCACCAGTTGAAAACCACTGAAAGGAAGCACATGAAAACTGGAAGTGTAGTATAACAGCATATCCAGGAAGGAAATGTTAGTAATTTGATAAGACTGTGTGCATGTGTGTGAACTTTGTGACTGTACATATTATGAACTCATGAATGCGCTTCAATAATCAGTCAAATCTGGACTGCGATATCCTCAGCAAAATTCTCCAGATTTAACACGGAAGTGCAAGTTATTCCCTGATAAAACATGAGATTTGAGTCCCCGTGCCCAAATAACAGCTGCCTAAGAAGGAACCCTACGACTGGTGCCATCTTGTACATTGTTAATGCAGCTGTTGATTTCAAGTAATATGATGACTACATTAGTTACTATCCACAGCTGTCAAGAACAACCATCCTCACCTAATTTTCATGGGGTTTGGTTCAGATTTGTACATCTGTGAGTGTCTGCAGTTGCACATCCATAAGCCCTTGCGTTTGAGAGTGAACCTGCATTTCGTTGCTGCAGATGGGGATGGTAGGGTGTGTGTGCATCAGTGATTCTGCATGAGTCTGTCTGTGATGTCTGCGTTGTGAAGAACATATAGGTGTGTCTGCATCCATGTGCTTGTGGGTGGCAAAGCACATGTGTGTCGTTGACGTACGGAGTAGATTCTGCTGCATGGAGTCGGACCGGTACAGACTGACGGTACTCTTCTTAAAGACGTTCTTCAGGAGCTGGGCTCTCTCAGTCAAACTACAGGGAAGGACACAAAGAGACACAGACATCATTATGCACATAACGGACGTCTCTTTTCTCTTCCCACAGAAGAGCGATCGAATTAAAGACAAACTTCCTGCTAGACAGATGTGTCTCCAGTGAGAGGCTGAGGAGACAGAATGAGACCGGAGCCGGGAGAGCAGCCAGTAGGATCGTTTACACTGGGAGGTGATCCCTGCTGATCCACTGTTTTTGCTTGTGCTGTTTTATGAATTCACGAGGAATGGCCCTCACCTCTTCCCATGCACCACAGCTCCTGGATCTTTCGACAGTGCCTCCAACTCCTGCACCTCATCAACCAGGGTCTTAAAGCACACCTTTTTCATACTGAAACACAGGAAGAAGAAAAAAAGTCGAAACTGTGAGAAAGATGAAAGAAAAACCCCTCAAGGTGGATAAAATGCATATAAAAATGAATATAACGTCAGACTATCACGTAACATCCCCTATTCTGCTCTAAAAGCAAAAAAACATTTGAATAAATCCAATGTTTATTTAATAAAATGTGATAAATAAATAATTTTAAAAGCTGGATTTTTAAAAGTTACTGCTTACAGTAATAAGTGCTTGCTACACAAAAGTAAACAAATATTGTTACAAATTATAAATATTTAAATTAATAAAATATAGATTTTTTATGATGATGATTATTTTTTTTATTTTGAAGCTTTATTTTTGTCTCATATCTGTGCATGATTATTTATTCTTAGGTGCATTACAGTATTTGCCTTCAGCAAATTTGCCTTTATGCTATTCTCTTTATTTAAACAATTCATTTTGATTTAACCCCAGTGTTTCAGGTTTCTTGTTCTAACACAATTGCATCATGTCAAACTGACTTAAAACGGTTACTCTTGGGCTTAACTCGATGATCATTTTGAAAGAACATGTTCAATTAAGTAGCTGGATAGGGAGAGAACATTTTGAAATTAAATGATATTTTATGCATTTTTAGCAAGATGAGAAAATAGGGAGACTTCTTCATGTTTAATGTTCTGTTATGTTGGCGTCAAGTGTCAGGTGTGTGCTTAGGTTAAGAACCTGCTAACAAGAATTAATACTGCTTTAATAATAAAAATTAAAAAAACTATAATAGGAGTGCTAGGGATGTAATCAGTACCATCTTCAGACTGCCAAAATCTAATATCATATGTGTACAGAAAAGTTAGATTTAACTTGCCATGTTATTATAACACTTTGGCTGAACTTCATTTAATCATGGACAGTGCTTCCACGTGATGGAAAGTTATTTCTACTTAAATACTTAATGTACAATGGACTAAAGTGAACTGAGTAAACTCAACTAAATTTAGATATGTCCAAATAACTTGATTCGATTGTATCCAAATAACTTGATTCAATCGTGTTCAAATGAGTGTGGAACAAGCAATTTAAATTTTACATCAATACTTTTAAAATTGTATACATGACAAAAAATGTTAACAAGAATCTCTCATAGAAAGATAAGTTCAGGTTTTAATGACTTGTAATGAAGAATCTCAACTTACACTTTGTAGGCCACATCAAACACCAGAGAGGTGATGGGAATGAAGATCAGACCCATCCAGAAGACTCCTGAACTGAACATCATGTCCGCCTGGAAATCAGACAAAGACACAGACACACAGACACAGACACACAGACACAGACACAGACACAGACACAGAGAGAGAGATGAGACAGAGGACCAAAGACAATCTGTGACTGATTTCTAAACTTAACCAAACCATTTAACTGGACTCTTACAACATCAGTACTACAAAGAGCTCAGCTTTCAATCATCAATCTGACCAAAACTTAAAAGATGTAATCTAGTTAAGGGGGACTGGAATGTGTCTCATCCTGGTACATCTTAAATGTGTGTGTGACAGATGAGAAGCCAGACAGACAAGAAGAGGTGAAATGAGAGACAGATGAGAGAGGCAGTCTGCTAGAGTACGGATCCCAACTGTTAACTGCTAATGATACTTCCCAGATCACCTCTCTAAAACCCTGATCCCAAATGATGACCCTGACCTATCAGAATGCCTTCTTCATATGATACATGGGACAGTGGGGTAGATGTCACCATATTTTAAAAAAGGGTCTATCATTACACAGCTGTCTGTGCCTGTCAGAAACACACACACACACACACACACACACACAAAATTTGGCATAGCAAGTAGTCATTAAATTGGTCAAAAGTGACAGTAAAAAACATTTATAATGTTAGAAAATATTTTTTTTTATTTCAAGTAAATGCTGTTCTTTTGAACTTTCTATTAATCAAATAGTCCTGAAAAAAAACATGTTTCAACAAAAATATTAAGCAACTGTTTTCAACATAATCAGAAATGTTACTTGAGCAGCAAATCAGCATATTAGAATTATTACTGAAGGATCATGTGACACTGAAGAATGGGAGTAATTGCTGCTGAAAATTCAGCTTTGCCATCACAGGAATAAATTACATTTTAAAATACTTATTTAAATAGAAAACGGTTGTTTTAAATTGTAATAACATAACAAAATAATATAACAGAATTATTAAATTAAGCATTTCACATTTAAGCATATAACAGTGAGGTAAAGTGTACCAGATGCTTTTTTCTTAGTTCATTTTTGTATTTGCAATATAGTAACCATTAATTCACATTACAGTTAACCTCTAACATCACTAGACCACTTTTCAAATAATATTTATATTATTTATATAATAGTTCAAATGCTATTTAATATCTAATCATATCAAACACGGCCCTATGTTACAGAGTTTACTTTCACATGTAAGTTGACAGAAGAAATCCTGAAATATAATTAGGCATTTTATATAAAAAAATACAAATAAAAAATATAAAAATAAACACTCTCCCCTACGTGTTTGTGAATAAGAAATGCATAAGGAAAGTAAAGGAATACTAACCACTGCAATCATCCCAAAGACACCAACCCAAATAGTTAAAAGTGCCTAATGTTTCTGCCAAACTATTTTAACCTGGGATGAGATTAAGAAAAAGCTGTGAGGGCCATTATTTGAGTCATATTTTAAAATGGATGAACTCAGATATGCATAAACAGCACTATTTGTTATCAGTCAAGATTACTGGATGTTACCACCAATCCCTCTTAGAAAGCACTGCATGGTACCAAGTGCAAAACTCAGACACATGAGTCTTCATTACTTTAATGAATCAGTTCATAACTGTAGGATAAATTTCCTGAAAATTCCAAATTGGAACAGAATAAACTCCTTCTCAAAAATGTCCACAACCAAAACAGATGATTCCTAAATGAGAGCCAAAGCAAGGCCAGTTTCAGAACACCCATCTGCCAAAATACACTCATTAATTAAATAAACAAGCAGTGAACAGATTAATCGGTCTTGAACTGGGTGATACTAAGACAATCAGTGGGGTACTGATGATAAAGGTCTTCAAAGACATCAATTTCTCAGTTAATTATAATAGTTTGAGGAGAATGTGTCTTTTCAATGTAAAACATCTCAATCATAACAGGCACATCCAAAGTGAAGAGTGCGAAAATCTTTGAGGAAGGAAGGAAATTGGAGAGACAGAAAGAGAAAAGGAGAGAGAAACAGAGTAAAAGAAAGGGTGCTCTGTTGTTCCACAGGGTCTGATTCACAAGACAGGGATATTCTGGCGTGGGCTAGTGGGGTGTGAGATGCAGTCGTCTTTGCTTATCCTGTTTGTTTTGGCTCAGCTGTGTTGAAAATACTCGTCATTAAATGTCAAAGAGCGCTGATCCGCCCCCTTGCAATTCCATTCAACATACATGCTTGCACCACTTGTCTAAACTCGGCACTCTGAGACAAATCAACGTCCTGTAATCTAAACCAGTAAAGGCCCCAGCACAAAGCCGAGAGGCACACCTGCCTGGAGCAATCTACCACAGCTTTCAGGTGTTCCCAAATGAGCTAATCTACTCACCATTACAGGAAAATAGACTTTGATGTCTAACAAAACAACAGGGAGGCAGGAAATCCCAAATGACTGGAAATCTGAATGGCTTCCTCCACCCTACTAATGTCATCTTTGACCCTGAATAAAACAAGTGCTGTGTGTTGCCAAGAGAAATTAAGAGAAAATTGTGCATGGGTGAAAAGATATTCGTGTAGTGCTGAAATTCGACAGTCCCAGAGGTAACATGTACTTTTCTCTTTGATAATGGCAGTTAAATCATTTTCATTGGGGGCCAATGTATTGAACAATCAGACAGGACCACAGGGGCTCAAGTACGAATAAAACCAGTGGTGGGAATGTTAAATTGGAGTCAATAACTATGATTGTACAACGTCAAACTTTATTAATGTTTTCCTGCTAAGTTGTATGTCATAAATACTCTTAAAAATCAACAAATGGGAATACTACGCTACGAATTAAAACGATAAAGAGAACTTACAAAGTTTCATAAACTATGTTTTTTCTAACATCATTTCTATGGATAGTTCTGGTAAAAAACTAAATCTAGCTGGCTTTTGGGAGCATGCAGGCCATAGATGTATTTTTATGGCAGAATAATAAACCACTATGGCCTCGTCTCAGCTGGCAATCAAGGGTGTCCGCATCAACTGTTTAGACAGGTCATCGACTCACTCTGTCTGCTGGACACATTCTCAAACAAATACCCACATACGTCACGCAAATTTCCTGCTGGAAAAAAACAAAATAGTTAAGCTAGTAACCAGCCACAATGTTCCAAAAACCAGCTTAAATTGATAGGACTTTGGATTTGTTTACGGTCCTATATGGTGTACCAATGGTCTACAAACACAGTTAATAGCGGAAGCTGATTTTTCTCCCCTCTCTTAGCATTAAAAACAACATGCATGCAAAATATTAATTATGCAAATATTTAGAAAAGAAATTGTGCAAAGATATGCACACATACACAAAGCATCCCATCCTTTGTCATAAGCAATCAAAGTACTGAATGTGTTCTCCAGAGCTGGCATGTGTGCGGTTTGAAGGACTCTTCACTAAAGTTACCACTGAATGGGGGTAAGATGATCACTTTTCCCTATTGGATTTGACCACATTGTACATGCAACTTGGACAAAAGCTAATGCTAAATGGAAATCTGACAAAAACAAACTCTATATAAGCACACACTGTAAACCACAATAAGTTGACATGAACACAAACTTTCATGCACAAACCATAATTAATCAAAATTACTATGTTGCTCTGTCAGAAGCACACACGGACCATTTAAAATCTTCAATCAGGTCTTTCAAAACCTGAAAGCAAATGTTGACAGATTCTATTAGCGCTTAAACCAGGCAAACTGAGTCTGAGTGTTTATCATTCGATCCCACGTGGTAACTTCCTCTGGTGATTGACAGGATGGATTAACTATGCCTGGATGCACTAATCAGCAGTGCTGTGAAATAGCAGAGTCTGGCTGCTCATGCCTGCCAGTGATAATGTTGGCCGAAGAATGTTAATACCACCCATTGTGATGGTAAATATGAGATGATAACAATTCAGACATGGTCATTCACCCTCGGCCTGCCCCTTTGGCTTTAGGGACTACATACTAACGGCTGAGCCAAGCCAACTTTATCCATGTTCACACACATACAAAAGTCATGTGCAAGAAGAATAAAGAATGTTTTTGCCTCTTCTCCCAAAAACTAAATATTCCACTTGCAATTAATTCAAATATGCCTTTATTATTAACCAAGTCAGTCACTCAAAAATTCTAATGTCAACTTGTGTATATAAACATCCTAATTGTAAACGCTCAAAAGTTCCTCTTGTCAGTTTGTGGTTTGAATGTGTAGAGCATCGAGATTCAAAGTCTCAACGGACGAGATGGTGAAATACAGCTGGAGTCCCATCTAATGCCTGTTGTTTTTGAAAGAGAGAGAAAAATAGAGGGAGAAGAAAAGCAAGAGAGACATCTAATTCCAACAGGGCCTGCAAATACAGCAATACTCAGCTGCTGTCATCTCGAGGCATGAGGGATAGAGATATTCACAAGGCCTTTGAGTGTCCAGTATGGAAAAAAAAAACATACTGTAATATCCCATCAACCCCATGTTCCACTCTCAGCATGGAACATCTCCATGGATTGAGGGAAATTTAGGAAAAACTATCTGAAAACACAAAGAACTCAAATAAGCTAACTTTGGCATACACCGAGTGTGTAGAAAATTAGTCACTCGGAGCAATAACATAATTTACTCACAGCACATCACATACACACTAATGTCCTGGAAAATATTACTTCAAAACAACCCTCATCTCTTATACTGTGAGGACCATAGGCTGTTCAGGTTTTACTGATTTCCAGAGTTAGAAGTCAAATCTCCATCACTGACTAGTAAGACACGTACCTTTAGTACTCAAAGTGCCACAAATAGAGAAGAAACACCCCACACATTCTTTATAGAGTGGGGTCCAAAAGCCTGAGACAACATTGAAAATCTGGGATTCAATATCTAATTTAAGCCAGATAATAAACAGCAACTTAAAGGACTTATTACAATTTATATTTTAGATTGTGCTCCATTTCTAAGTCACTGATCAAATAAGCAAATCTGTGGCACTGATCATGTGAACTCCTTTGAACAGATGGTCAGATGTTCTTTCT